AAAAAAAAAATTACACACTGCTGCTAGTCTGTTAGGTTTCTACCCTCTCGTTTTAGGAAACAAACACTATATAAAATCTCTTCTCATCACCCTCTCCAACTTTCGCGAGTTCATCGCTTTTCTTGAATTTCTGACTCTACAGTCCCTCGTTTCATTCGTCAAAGTGTAAAAGCCAAAGTCTCGTGCCCTGTTGAATTATAGGGGTGAAAACAGAAATAAGACGAGAGGGACCGTGGGGGGGGGCAGAGTTATGAAGGGGCTGGGACTAACGACAGACGCGCTGGGGGTGTAGGGTCAACGTGGGTGTAGATCGGTGACCACAGGGACGGAGTCGAGGTCGGCGTGGGGCAGGAAGAACTGAAGGAAGAGGGAACGCCATGCAGCTTGGGGTCCAGGAGCGGGCGGGGAGGCGCAGCCGGTGCAGGGCGGTAGCGGGAAGGGCGGATTGGGGCGATGAGGCCGAGCGGGGATGAGTTGAGGGTGGGCTGCTTGGCAGGAGGAAGCACAGAGAATGTTGCAATGCAAAGAACGGGAAATCTGCAGAGGAGAGAAGGGTGCTTTCTCCTTCCGGCTCAACTCACCGAAGAGGCTGCTGCTAAACCCGTCCCACACGCAGCCCACGGTGTCCCATACCCAGCCGTTCCTCAAGCAGGACACGAAGGTAAAGGTGACTCCGAAGAGGGACACCAGCAGGTCGCTGATGCTGATGTTGACCAGGAAGAGGTGGATGGGAGTGCGGAGCCGCTGGAACTTGTAGTAAAGGACGAGCACCAGCAGGTTGTTGCCGACGCCCAGCAGCCCAATGGAGCCGAGCAGCAGCGCCAGGCGCTCGTAGGTGCTCGGGCTAAACACCGGGCCCGGGCTCCCTGTCCCCGCCAGCGCTGGCCCCTCGGCGCCCGCGGCCCCGCCGCCCTCCCACGAGCCCTGCCTGCCGCTGCAGTTCCCCGAGTACATGGCCCCGCGCGCTCGGCGGGCGAAGGCGCTCAGCGTTCCGTTTGGCCCGCNGGTGTGAATTTAAAACAGCTAAGCTATCTGAATAGCTCACAGAAAGTCTAAACTTAATATGATCAAGATGGAATGTTTATTTTCCCCAAGAACCATGGCCCTTTCTCTGTTTTGGTAAATAGTACCAGCATCTGCCAAGTTTTAAAACCAGAAACCTGAGTATCATTCTAGAACAGGGTTTCTCAACCTTAGCACTACTGACATTTGAAGCTGGAGGATTCTTTGTTCTGTATATGGGTATTTGGGGTGGGGTTGGGAGGGGGGAGCTGTCCAGTTCATTGTAGGATGTTTAGCAGCATCTCTGCCTTATGGGTATAGGCATTTAAACATGCCACCTATACCCCCTAGATGCCAGTAACACCCCATCCCCAGTTATAACAATCAAAAATGTCTGCAGACGTTGCCAAATGTCTCTGTGGGAGAAGGGCAAAATCTCCCCTGGATGAGGACCATTGCTTTAGATTCCTGCCTTTCCTTCACTCACCATGTCTGCCCCCAACAACTTCCAACCCATTACCAACCACATCTCGCCATCGGCAGGGCTATCTCTTGGGTATCTATATAACTTATTCAATTCAGGGCACTTTCAAGAGTGGAAGGGTTTGCTATTAATTGAGAAAATAGGCATACATGAGACTTTCCGTGGCAGACGAAGATGCAGGGTCACCCTCTGCATCGCCCAGGCCCAAGCCTCCGTCGTCTGAAACCCCAGCTAATGCACGAGTCCCTCACGGGTTTGAGAGCTTTCACTTTTATCTCCTCCCAGCAGCCGTGGTGCTTTCAAAAATTTTGACTCAACTCATGTCACTTCCCTGCATAAAACCCTCCATAGATAGCTTGCCATTGTACTTAGAAGGGAACACAAACTTCTGACTCCAGCTCTGCCCCCTCCTTCTCTGATCTCACCACACAGCGCCCTCCCCCGTCCTCACTCTACTCCGTCCTCACTGACCTGGAAGATGCCAGTCTGTCCCCAGCTTCTGTGTCTTTGTGTCTGTCAGCCTCTGCCTAAAATGTGCTTGTCTCGCTTTACATATGGCTCCCTCCTTTTTGTTTCTCAGATCTTAGCTTAGTTGCTTCCCCATGTCCTTAGGGATACCTGAGGCCCACCCCACCAGCTACGACTATATATCAAAGACCCCTACTGGTTCCTTCCTAGCACTTCTCCCACACTGTACGTAATGATTTTTACTTTTGTTACTAAGGTAGAACATACATACGGTGAAGCACATGAACTGCACTAATTTGAAGTACATAAGTCAAAAAATGTGGACATTGGTAAACAAACTTTTGGTTACAAACCAGATCAAGACAAAGAACATTTCTTGCATCCCAGAAAGTTCCCTCGTGTCTTTGTCAACTTAACACAGATAGCCACTAGTCTAATGTCTGTCACTAGTAATGAGTCTTCCTATCACAATCTGTACATATGTATTTGATTGTTCCCTTATTAGTTTTCTATTTCTCTCACTAGAATGTAAATTCCCTGAAGAAGGGATCTTGCTTATCTAGTTAGTTCCATTCTAAATCCAGTGCCTAGCTCAATTCTGACACATAACAGATGCCCAATATATTTGTGTGTCTTGTCTCAGACTCAGTCACACTCCAGTGAATCACCAATTTGGCAAAATCTATATTCAAGAAGTGGTGTGTGTGTGTGTGTTTACATAGTGTCAAAGAACCAATAAGAATTGTGCTTTGCTCACTCAAGANGTTACTTTCAGTTAATATGCATTTATACCTACTGTCTCCACATCCTCTCTTCCCACTCCCTTTAATCCATCATTCCACTGAGATAGCTTCTCTCAAAGTCACCATAATCCACATTCCAATGGTTAATCTTCAGTCCTCACCTTATGTCGCTCAGCAGTATTGGGCAGTTAATCACTCCTTTGATTAATAATGCTTATCCGTAAATATTTCAGTACATAGCTTCAAAATACAACATCACATAAACAGCAATGCAACATAACTTATAATTATCACGTCTAAAATAATAAAGTGATTTCTCAGTATCATCAACTATCTAGTTGGTGTTCCAATTTCCAATTGTCTCATGAATGTAATTACTTCCCAGTTTGGTTGAGTCAGGATCTAAGTAAAGTCCACACACTCTGACTGGTTGGTGCATTGTTAAAGCTCTTTTTAATCTACATGCCCCCTTCTTTCTTTTTTCTTCCTATGCAATTTCTTTATTGAATAAACTGAGCTGTTCATCCCACATCACCTTCCTTTTCAAACCACCTTCTTCTCTTGGCTCCTGAGACACTCCTTCTCTTGGCGTTCCTCCCGCCTCCCTGCCACTCGTCTTAGTCTTTGCCAGAGGTTCTTCCCGATCACTCTGACTTGACCACTGGCACATTCAGGGTTTGGTCCTCAGCTTCTTTTCTTCTTCATCTACATTGCTCCCTGATGTCATCTAGTCCACTGGCTTTAAAGACGAGTACCACCTAAATGCTGATGATTCTCAGGCGCTCCCTGAACTCTACACTCTTACACCTGGTTATTCAACATCTACAACTGCTTCTCTAAGAGACAGCTCCAACTGAACATATCCCAAATTGAACTCTTCATTGCCCCCCAAACCTGTCCCTCCCACCGACTGCCTCCCCCACAGTGAACGACAACTCTATCCTTTCAGTTTCTTGAGGCCAAAATCCTGCTTATCCTGGATCCTTCTCTTGTTCTCACCCTTCCATCTAATCCCTCGTCAGCAAGTCCTGTCACATATACCTTCACTCAATCTGATCACTTAGCCCGACCTCCATCACCAGTACCTGAACCTAAACTACTACCATCTCTTCCTTGGATTATTGAAATGGCCGCCTCCTTGGCTTCCCTGCTCCTACCCTTTGTCTCCTTCCATTTATTTTCCACAAAAGGATCTGGAGCAGTCCTTTTCAAATGTAAGTCAGAACATATGATGCTACTCAAAATGTTCCCATCTTACTCAGGGGAAAAGCCAACGGACTTACAACTGCCTCTAAGGTCCTCCAGGACCTNAGCTCCCCCGCCCCTCGGCGCGCCCTCGTAGCCACGTGATCGCGTACTTGCCTGGCTTTCTCCGCCCCACGTCGCCAGGTCTCCTTCGCCCCTGTCCCTGCTTGCGCCCCGGAGGACAAAGCAGTAGGGAGGCAAGTGAACTGCAGTGGCTTCTCACATCCTGTCTCCCCCTCACCCAGCCTGAGAGCATCACGTCCATTCACTCGCCTATTCGCTCATTCATAAACATTTATGAGTGCTTGTGCCTTCCCAGTGCTAAGGAAAGGGCTGGATAAGAGACTCCTACCCGAGGCTTCTCCCCTTCCCAGGAAGCCAGCCTACAACGCCACTCCCATCTCACGCGTAATGGAAGCCCCCGGCTGGACCCCCGAGGGCTGCCAATGTTGTCCTTCCTGCCCTGCCCTGAAGTAGCTGTGGATACGTCCTGTGACTGACGCCTGCCACAGCCCAGGCTGGCGGTGACTGCCCAGGAGGTGCCCTCAAAGCTTCAGCCTAAATCTAGCAGCTATAGAGAGGTAGGTGGTATATTTAGAACAGCACGCTTTTCCCCGGTAGCAGTGAAAATACAGTACAAGTCAAATATAGGTTGTGAACGTGATCACTTTTCAAGAGCTGCGCCTCTGTCTCTGCACAGCCCGCTCCTAACAAGGCCCCGCAGGAGGACGACAGTCTGGAGCCAGACCTGCAAGCTATTCTGGGCACTGGTGACTAGCACAGTGTTTGTGGAAGGGCAAAGCAATTGCCCATGAGGGCGTTTACCCCTCCTAACTCTGTTTAAAAGACCAGGAAAGAATGACTAGCTTCAGTGAAGCTATTCCAAATCCAAATTCCAATCCATTCCAAATCCCCTGGTGATAGACTCTCATCTTCAGGTCAGGGTCAGCTCCCCTCCCTGGAGCACTGAACAATGGCAGAGGGGCAGTGAATTTGGTCCTCAAACCCTGGATTTGTCTTTAAGCCTTCCGATGTGCACTTGTCATCTATGAGACTAACACGCCCACCTCTTTAAAAAACTCATTTAATTTTATATATTAGATTTATGCAACCAGTTAACAAGCTCTGTATGTTTAATGTCCACTGCATTTTCAACATAGTGCCTAGTCTACAGTAAATTCTCAATAAATACTAGTTGAATGAGTGAAGACATGCTATATTTTTTCCTAAAGTATTACTTTGTTAATTAATGAATTTATTAATTCTTTGGGGCTAAGCTGCTGCCCTCAGAAAGCTTACCGTATTTGCCGGCGTATAAGACGACTGGGCGTATAAGACGACCCCCTAACATTTCCACTCAAAATACAGAGTTTGTTATATACTCGCCNACAACAACCAAGATTTTAATGGCCTTCTTTATATTCTAAATGAAATATTCCTTTTCAATAGTGTCAGGGTATACACATTGCAGTGTATATAAATTCTTAATATAAGAGAAGAAAAAGGCTCTGGTTCCACCTCTTCCATTTCCTGAGTCACTTTCTGATCAGCGCAGTAAGGACCCCTCAGACATCATTCTGGTTCTTGGAAGAACACGTAGAAGCATGTTTGCTTGTTAAGTGATCTATTGACTACGGAAATGGGGACAGAAATGCCTCTGACCTTTGTTTAAACTCACAGAAGGTGATACTCTGTAGAAAATAAAATAAAAATATTTGATAAAAGTTTAAAGAAAAAATCTTGGCAGAATAGAAGTAATAAAAAATTCCCTTAATAAAGAGGACTGTGATAGTTTTCTGCAGCTGCTGTAATAAATGACCACTTTTTAGCAACTTGATGTGTACACGATTGATATGATACACATATATGTCAAAATGATTACGGCCATAGGGGTAGCTAACACGTCCATCATATCACACAATTGCTATTTCTTGTTTGTGGTGAGAACATTAAAGGTTTACTCTCTTAGCCACTTTGAAGAATATAATACAGTGTTCCTTATAGTTACCACATTAGATCCCCAGATCTAATTCATCTTCTAACTGGAAGTTTGTACCCTTTGACCAACAACTCCCCATTTCTCACCTCTCCAGCCCCTGGTAACCACCGTTCTACTCTCCGTTTCTGAGTTTGTCTCATTTAGATTCCACGCATAAATGAGATCATATAGTATTTGTCTTTCTGTGTCTGACTTACCTCACTTAGCATAATGCTCTCATATCCATCCATGCTGTTGTAAATGACAGGATTTCCTTCTCTCTAAACTTAATAACTTAAAGAAATACATATTTACTGTCTCACGGTTTCCATGGATGAGGAGCCTGGGCACATCTTTACTGGGTCCTCTGCTCAGGGGCTCCCAAGGCTGTAATCAAACTGTTCTCATTTGGAGGCTTGACTTGGAGGGAAGAATCTGCATCCAAGCTCAGTCAGGCTGCTGGCAGAATCCATTTCCTTACTGTTGTGTGACTGAGGGCTTTTCACTCGCTGAAAGCTAGAGGCTGGCAGCTACCTTCATGTTCCAGAGGCTGTCTGCAGTTCCCTGCCAGGTATAGCCCTTCACATGGGCAGTTCACAACTTTGTTTCTTCTAGGCTGGCAGGAGAATCTCTTTCTCCATAGTCCACTATGGCAGAGTCTTATATAATTTAATACGATCAAGGGAGATACAGCCCATCACAATTGCCAAATTCTGTTGGTTAGAAGCAAGTCACAGGTCCTGTGCACACNTGTCTCTTCCCTTTAGGCTACCACTGTACATCTTTCCTTTGCTTTTCCACCAATTTCCCCACAGTGTCACCACTTAATTTTCCATCTACTCAAGTCTGGCTTCCCTTATCAGTTTGCTAAAAATGCTCTTACCGAGGTATTTGATTACCTAACATGGCTGCCAAATTCAATAAATTGTTTTCATTTTCCAGCTTACTGGCCATTTCACTGCATTAACAGTTAATTGCCTCTGCTTCCAGAAACTTTCTCCTTCTGCATCTCTCATAATGCCAGTCTCTTATTTTTCCCCTTTCTCAGTCTTTCTTGCCTCTTTTTTTCTGAGCTTTGCCTGTGTTCTCTCTCAGTCCTATAGCATAGACGCTATCTACGTCGTCTCATAAGCCAGGTATCTTGGTAAAACCTTTGACTATTTCATGGTATCTCATTTGGGTTATTACAACAGCCTCTTCATAGAATAGTCTCCTTGCCAAGAAGAGTTATTTCCTTCCTCTATATTTCTGCTGAGAGTTTTCACTTAAAAAAAATTTTTTTTATTGACCACATTCCTGGCTTAGTAACTCACCTCTAAAATCCATATACATTAACTTGGCATCCAGGACTATTCAGTCATGCCTCAATCTACCTTCCAGCCTCAGCTCCTGCAACTTCTCTTCGTGCACCTTCCGCTCTGTCTTCAGCATCTCCAAGCATGTCATACTCTTAACGACTCTGATTTCCCACGTGTCACTCTCCCCAGGTAGAGTACCTTTCCTCCTTTTTTTTCATACCTCTAACTCTTGTTCGTCTTTTGAGACCTAATTTGAATGTCATCTCTTTTGAAAGCTTCCAAACTTTCCCCACGCTAAGCCATCTTTAGCACTTACTGCACTGTACTGCCATCTCAAGGAATGTACTTGCTGCACTTAACTGCTACAATTGGTGTATATGGGTGTGTTCCTGCCCCTTCTCCCACCATTGAACTGTGAGTGCATTGAAGGCTTTGTAACCCAGGGCCAGCTAGCCAAGAGTCTGGTGTCCAAGAGATACGGTTTTCCTTAAATGTGTGCTAAATGAACATGTTAACCTTGCTTTCATTTAGAAGCTCGCAATCACAAGTCACATTGAAAAAATTTCCTTCCTTTATAGTGTGTGTGTGTGTGTGTGTGTGTGTGTGTAGAGAGAGAGAATGTTATAGATATATAGATATATTTTATACAATATTATACCATACTATAGTATACAGTATATATTTTATATATAGCATAGATTTGATAAAGACTAAGTACCATACATAAATTACCTTCTGTGACCTGAAAGGCTAAGAAGGGAGAAATGTAATCTTAACTTTCATCAGACTGCTAATACTGTTATACATTCACATTGACTTTTAATACTGGAATGTAGGTTCTACCTCTCATTATAGGCAAGAGGCTAAGAACTGTAGAGAATATTTTTAATGAAACAATGTCTACCCCAAAAATGAGATCAGGTACACTGCAGGAACTCATCCAAGCAATATTACTTTTAAATCTTCTTGTCCCGATAGAATTAAAAGCATCCCAGGAAAGGGAAGTCTCATCATCCTCATATGGTGGTATTTATAATAAGACACATATCTTGTAATAGTCGGTGTGAATTTAAAACAGCTAAGCTATCTGAATAGCTCACAGAAAGTCTAAACTTAATATGATCAAGATGGAATGTTTATTTTCCCCAAGAACCATGGCCCTT